CTGTTATTTATTGCCATTTACTCGATCGTGTTTCGCGGTGCTCTCGCGCCGCATAATCGGTCGGTCGAATCGAGCGATCGAGAGGAGTGAATTAAGAACGCGCTTCCATTACGAAATAAGGGCGTTCTCCTTATGCCACATATACTTATTTCAGAGTCATACAGAGAAAGCAATCAGGAAATTATACGTAATCGTAGTAACAGTGGATCATTATGAGTACCGTTACAGCTTTACCATTCGCTTTCCGTTTCGCAGAATGTTGAGCATTCGTTTAAACGTATCGAGTGTATTCCAAATTCGTCTGTTAACCTTTTGCGCTTGCCAAATTGCTTTATTTAATAAAAAAGCTTAAGTATATTTTTATATCGGAAAGCATAAACTCGTTCAATATTCCTTTAATACAAATCCTAAAAATTGACATGCAATAAAAATAAAATAACTACAAATTTAGTAAAATATGATTATTATAGAAAAAGTTATATTATTTTTGAAGAACCGTCGCAGGAAGTTAATGCGAAATTTTCATTTTTCTTAAAGAAATTAATTAGTGAGAGACCTACATGAGAGACAGTTAAATTGTACACCGATCTCAGATAGAGATACATAAAGTATACACCGAGGAGCATAAATGAGATCCCTTTCGGTCCTTTTCGGTGTAGATAGGTGTAGATGAGCGCGTCATTGATGGGTTGTCGTCACACCTATATCCAAAAGCCAATGGCGCGCTCTACACCTACTCTCTAAATTTCTTAGAGTGAAATCTAACTCCAAACGAGTGGATATTCACTTCAAGCAATAGTGAAAATACTGCCACTCGTAAATAGTAAAAATTCACTTTTCACAAAAGTGATTGTTTAATTCTCACGTAGAGTAATGTATTACTCGTTCCGGCGTGAATTCACTCGATCAGAGAATGAAATCTTCTTCGTTGGTAAGGCGTTTATTTTAACAGTTCTCTTAAAAACAGTGAGATTGCACTCTTCATGTGAATGAAATATTCACTCCACACTGCATAGAGTGAAAATATTCGCTCTATAAAATAAAGTACACATAATTACTCTACTTTGCAGAGTGAAAAATTTACTCTACAACAAAAAGAGGAAAAATTAACTCCGTATAAATGAAAAGTCACTCTAATTCAAGCGACACGAGTCACTCATCAGTCACTCAATTTTTCGAGTGCGTTATCACTCTAAGAAATTTAGAGTATCTACTCCGAAAATAAACCTCATTTTTGCTCCTCAATGTACGAAAAGTTGAGTACATTGTTCTCACATATGGAGAATCATAATGTATTGATAGAAATTATTAAAAAGAAAAGAAGAGAGAAAAAATATTAAAGCGCGAGTGGCTAAGCCGGGAATTAAACCCGGGATCTTCCGTTTGCCGGGCGACTGTTCTGACTACTAAACTATTCAGATCCCACGCTTCTAATATTTATCTCTCGCTGGATTAGGAAATAAACAATTCTGTAGGAGATAAACGCGTCATAATGCCCGCGTGATTTAAAATATGTACAATGGAAAGACTCATATAACTATTTAATTGTCTCTCACGCAGACTAATTAATTTCTTTAAGAAAAATTAAAATTTCGCACTAACTTCCTGCGATGGCTCTTGATGCTCTTCTATTATATTATATTTGATAGTTATCATATGAGCCTTTCCATTATATGTATTTTATATTATTTTTGTTTTGTCAAACATCTTGAGATTTCTGCATCAGAAAAAAATTTAAATACTTGACTTCAATGCCAAAGAAAAAGTGCCAAGTATTAAAGTTTTCTATAACGATAATTAAAGTCATCGCATGAAATGTGTTGTTATCATCCCTATTTTTCACAGATCTTTATTACGCATCGCACATAAGCGTGCTGTATAAACAATTGATCACGCGCTGCTCAATTCGTGCTTTTCCCCCCACAAAACTCATTATTAATTTCGTAAATTAAAGCACGTCTTCCACGCAGTGGAATCGACGCATTAGTCGCGCTTCGTTTCGCAGGTGCATAAAATCGCCGATTCACCCTCTCCCGCAATCTCCTCCTTGTAGTGAGGTGTACGCGCAGTAAGGTATTCGAAGCAGTACGTAGGAAGCGAATGCCAGAGAGAGCATATGGCGCGATACAGTATGCAACACGTTCATGATGCAAAGGAATGAAAAAAGAAACTTCATTCTATCGTCGAGTCAGTTCTAAAGCAAGTGAATACTGAATGGACAAAATTCCAAAATATAAAATTCGAAAAATTGCAGTGCGTAAAAAACACGACTTGCGTAATTTAATCGAATTGTGGATTTAACGGTTCTCCATATAAATGTATAAAAATAAATATTATTATCTTCTAAATGGTTACTTAAAAATTTAATGGCATTTTAAATCTTACAAGTTAATATATCATTAGATTGTTGAAGAAGATTTTCTTAATTGTCGAATTGTCGAAGCTAATAAAGTCACGAAATTGACCGAACAAATAAAAACTGTAAAAAAATTGCACATTGCTCTTTAATTTTTTTAATAGAGAATTGTCGTTTTTAAACGATACAAAAATTAATGAGAATTATAAGAAATATAACTTTTAATTTTCTTACGAATTTTCTGCCTTATGTAGTATTGGTTATCGTATATAGGTCAAACAACTCAAGCGCAGTTCCAATGAAGACATACGTCGGACGTTGGTTTTGTTCCTCTTTTGTATTCAGTTTCAAAGATTATGCTACTTTCTCAGTCGGCGCTTTAGTTACGCTTCGTTCCGCAGGTGCACAAAATCGTCGATCCCTCCTCGCGCGCGCGACCGCGTCGCGTAATATGCAATCATGTTGCACATCGTGCAATATTATGTGCAGGAAAGGGTCAGAAGTACGGATAGCGTAACATCGGGACAATTCAGTGTATAGAATCATAAAGAAAGAAGCGTGAAGAAAGAGAGGGAGAACAAAAGCGAGAGGAAGCAGCTTAAAAATCAGACTCGATGTTACAACTCGATGTTGTAGTCTACTGAAGGTTTTTTGCGTAAGTCAAGAATCAACGAAGCGCGAATTTAAGTTTTCTGTGTTTCGTTAAAAGGAACACGACGATACATTTCCTGAAAGTGATCTCGCTAAAATGCGAGATTTTATAACAGAAGTATACTCATAACTCAAGGTCTATTTAATGTCTCGAGTTTTTTTATTAAATCAACTGGTTAATAGCTATTCAGGAAGCTATTTTTTATATTTCATGTACAAAAAAATTAAAAAATTATTTCTACTTAAAGAAAAATGTGTCTTTTCTTCAAGTAACTTGTATCAAATATATTTTAAATAAAAAAATTAATTTTGGAATTCAAAACATTTTTTAAATACTTATAGTAGATATAGTAATTTTTGAACTTAAAGATAAGACACTTGTAATAAATTTATAGCAAACGTAATGAAAATTGCTGCTGTCTAATATAAAACTAATTTCATTTTTCGAGGAAAGTCGAATGACATATTTCATTACATGTCTTATGAAATTGGAATTATGAATCCGTAGGATGAAAAAGAAAGAAAAAATAGCGTCCTGTGGGCGCTGACCTTAATCACGCGATGTTATCCGCACCGTTCAGGCACGAGACGCGAAGTTGCAATTTACCGGAGGCGCGCATCGAGGATGAAAGACGCAAAGGACGAAGGGCGACGAGGGGGGTGAAGAAAACGAAGGAAGGGAGGGACAGAAGGGGGCAGAAGGTAAAGGTGAAATAAAAGGAACTACCAATTAAATTTCTTTCGTTGGTCTGCGCGCGACGACCTCGTCTTGCCGCTTCTTGTCGCACTCTTTTCTGCAGCGGTTGCATTTTTTTTCACCGCGATTATGCGGGCGCCACCTGCCCGCACGTGACTCGCGCGCTGCGAGAGCGGAGCGGAAACGAGCGCGTGCAAGTTGCGATGAACTGGCGTAATTGTGATAATGATATCCGACAGCATACACTGCATAATTTATCGCACCCAGGCCAAGCGATACCGGAGTCTGCGCGCTTGTAGCTACTAAGTAATAAACTGAAGGTTTATCCAGGTGAACGTGAACTTTTTGCAATAAGGCCACGCGAGACGTTTTGAATTTCACTATAATTGAATTCTGCTGTACATCTTGCACTCTTGTTCAAATTAAATTTGCAATTACTTTTTAGTTTAGATAACACAAAATTTGAGAATATCAACTTCTTGTTCTGAGCAAACATATTACAAAATTGATGAAAAAGAAAGCAAGCAATTAGTTCTGATCAAAACCTTTTATTTTTTAACATAAGACATAATATATCTCTAACTCTTTATTTTTATTTTATATAAATAAATTATCTAAATTGTATACTAAATAAACTATTTTGCATGGTTCTAAAAATTTTCATTTACGATTATTATTCAAAACTATTTCGTATTGTTCATTGTGTTTCAACTAGCAATTAATATGACAAAATATAATTTTAGTATAATTTTTTTTTCTTAATTATAAATCTATATTTCCATAAAAAAATATATCTCCCTTAATCTATTTAATTACCCTCAATCTATCTTACTCTTCGTTTCAATAATAAAAGTTAATAACTGGACTGTGCTGATGTAAACCGACTTAACGTGCCTGACGTGTGACTCGTCGAGAGAATCGGTTCTGCCTTTTGCAAGACATTTCAGTAACCCTACTCCCGAGATAACATATGAATGCGACGCTCGAACGCGACTGCTGATTCGTATGTGCGACGAGGGATGAATTTTATTCGCGCTGCATGCACGAGGCACAGAGCACAATCACCGACGTGAGATGCACATGCGACCGATGCGACCAGAGCGTGGGCCCTCGATAAACAGCGGTGCTTGAATAAGAGTGATCGGCGCCGAGTAATTAGCGACCGTGCGTATGTCGGACACGTGTGTAAACGCGGCGGCGTGTGTTCGATTGGGAAAGAATGCCATTTGGAATAATTAATTTTCTGACATGCACGACGCTACGACATGATCGTAGCATAGAGACTTGAAAGACTCACCTCGTGTGAAACGATCGATTCTCGGGACAATGCGGCATTTCTCCATTCAATTGAATTATCCTGAAACATACCAAAGTAATTTTGAAGAGTACTTCTTAATGAAAAACAATCAGATAAAATTAAATGTCTGAAAAATTGCATTCTTTCTAATGCGTTTTGCCGCAGCTAAAAACATGTCATTTGACATTAATAATGTACAGAAAACAAAATGTCAGCATTGACAAATTGATTTTTTATTTGATAAAAAATTAATCAAATTTAATAAAAATTTAATTCAAACATGATACAAAAATTGATCATATTTGTCAATCTATCAACATTGCTAACATTTTGTTTTCTGGGTTATTCGATTGTCAAGCTATACAAAGTATGTATCGTTATATCTTTGTTTATATTTTGAAATTTATTATTGTGTGTGTGTGTGTGTGTGTGTGTGTGTGTGTGTGTGTGTGTGTGTGTGTAAAGGTCTTATTGTTTTTTTAAATTAAACCACCAATTTTTTTTATAAATTAATTTTTTTTATATAAATCCATTCATCACATTCTGTGTAAAAAATTATAAGGATGCGGATGTAATGAACAAAAAATGAATAATTTACGAGATATTTTATATCTTAGTTTGACATATTTTTTATAAAATATAAAATATCTCAAAAAATATTTAATTTTCGGTAATCTTATCTTAATACCTTAATGCACAGAATAATGAGGAATAAATTAATTGTGTAAAAAACAGTTGTTTTAAAAAAGTATGCAACTGCATGTTGCAAATTACATATTTTTAAAGCAACTGTATTTTTGCACCAATTG